TGCTTTTCTCCCAATAACAAAACACAATTGGGTCTTAATAAACCCATTCTTCCACTGATTCGTCTTACTGACTATAACAGAATCTGCAGCTAAATTTTTGGAAAATATCATGAAAAGTTGTTCATGTTAGACATTCCTTTGATCTTTCGAGTTTTCAACTAAAATTTTTGAAACCAAATAGCTTTTGGCTAACTTTTGAAAAAATCGATAACAAAACATTTTCAGGCACTTTTTGGAAGCCTCTCACCCAAAAACTGCAGTTTGTCAGAGCGAGCTTCCACCGCAAAAAAATACATATTGACGCCAAAGGCGCCTTAAATTTCTTGATCAAAAGCTTTCGCCTTATTTGCATAACAGGCGGCTATAAATTTTTCTACTTCTACAAAAGATTCTCAAATTAAAAAGTGGAGCTCTTCTTTCTATCGGTTCAACGGGGCAATATCAATCAAAATTTTAAATAATATCCTCAATCACCATCTACTCACAACCAAAATCCTCTAATTCGTATTTTCTTTTCAGGCATTTTTTGGCTTCAACTGGATTGAAAACAACACTGCCTGTTTTCGTTATTCAGCGTATTTGTTAGCTAACACTTTAGCTAGAAGTGTAATAAAAACTATTAGTAAAAATCTTGCAAGCAAATTTTTTAAAATAATATTCTCATCCATTTCTACGCTGTGTTTTATCGGAAACATTTTGCGAAAAAAAAGTTGTGTGATCTTTATTTCTGTAAAATTTTGTTTTTGGCAATTTTCATTTTGAAAATGAAAAGCTTGGAAAGTTTTTCTCTGTAGAAGTTTGACGATCAAAACTATGGAATCCAGAAAAATAGCGAATACAGAGATGAAAAATTAGCCATGCTCGCTTTAACTTCCACGGAGAACGCGGTATTCTTTTTCATTGGAAGCAAATGCTATAACATTCCGGTACTTTTCTGTTGATTTTCTCGTTAAACAGCGCAAGTTTAATCAATCTGATCGAAAAGTTGTGGAGTCAACAATGAAAATTTCTGGAATCCAAAAAATAGGAAAAGAAATGGGAACAAAATATTACAATACATGTGAATCAAATCTATTTTTAAGGGAGATGGCTTCAACTACCAGTGGGATTTGAACTTGGTTTCAGAACTACGCAAAACTATTTGTTTCGACTTTCGTAACGAAAGTAACGGAAAATTTGTTGTTCTTAGGGTGGTTTTTTGTTCTGCAGACAAATTTCGACATTTAAGTTAGCCATTTTTGACAAGATTTTTATCATTAAAAAAGTATTGTTGCCGTGAGCTTAGAATCTATTTTAAAAATCTATTTTTGATAGATTTTTTAGCTGCGATCATTTTTTGTAAAGTTATGGTGGTTTATAGATTGCCACTTTGGCCAGTTTGCAACAATTAACGCGCTATTTATTTCGCGCTATTATACGTAAGTGGAGATTTAATCCGTCTTAGAAATTGTTCGAAATTGGTTGAAGGAAGCTTATATGCAATAATTAATTTGTTATGAGCGAAATGTACCACTTTGTACTTTATATGGCTTCTGGGGTGACGATTTTTACAAAAAAACTCAAATTTCTAAAACACTGATTTAAATTTTTATTTTGTTACATTTAATATTTCTTTTCATGTTTTTACTGCTCCATGGACCTAAAAAGGCAGTCGAAACATTCAGGGCTTCGCCTTGATAAGAACAGTCTTGTTCAATTTTTGTGCTCTTTTATTTAACCGAGGGCGATGTATTATCAGCTAGACGTTAAAATCAACTTTGCAGCTGCATTTTTCTTGTGATTCTAGTTTTTTTAAAGAAAGCTCAAACCATCGATAAAACTGAACAAGACTGCTCGTATCAGGGCAAAGCCCTGAATGTTCCGACCGCCTTTTAATGTTTATGGAGCAGTAATAACATTTAAGAAATTAAATGAAATAAAACAAAATGAATTTTTTTTTCTTCTAAAGTTTGATTTTTTTAAATGAAAATCATCCCCCCACACGCTATATTAAGTACAAAAGGATAGATTTCGCTCCTTGTAACAAATCAATTATGGCAAATAAGTTTCTTTCAATCAATTTGGAACGATTTCTAAGACGGATTAACTCTCCGCTTACGCTTTAATAGCGCGAAATATATCGCGCGTTAATTGTCCCAAATTGGCCAAAATGGCAATTTTTAAACCCCCGTAACTTTACGAAAAATGATCACAGGTGAAATATCTTTTCAAATTTAAGCTCAAGACAACAATACCTTTCGAATGATATAAAAAAATTCCGTCAAAAATGGCTAGTTAAAAAGTCGAAATTTGTCTGAAGAAAAAAAAACCCACCCCGAGCACAAATATTCCGTTACTTTCGTATCGAAAGTCGTAACATCAAGACTGCACGTATATCAGGGCGGAGCCCTCAATTTTTTGACTAAATTTAAGGCCAACTGAATTTTTAATTTTTTTTTTGTTTAAATAATTGACAATAACTGAGAAAAAGGAAGAAACAGTTTTTTTTTGTAAAATACGAAGGGTATGTTTAGCGTGTCGTTTTGTGATGATAGGATTAATTTACTGGCCTCAATTCAAATTGGAACGCCTTAATTTGCTTCTTGCCCGTGTTATAACTACCCAATATTTCGCATTTTAATTACCCCAAATTGGCAGTTAAGGTGGTTTTATGATTTCCAAAGGGGGTTGTTGAGCAAAATTTGGCAATAATAATATCATGCCTCTTTCCCCTAACTCTTACCCTGTTTTTTTTTCTTAATTAAAATTTCATCTGAAATTTAGTTCAAAACGAGACAGTTTGGTCTTGGGCGTTAATGAGGACTCAAATCGCAGCCTCAGGCTATTATTATCGACGCGACTGCAAAATTTGGGTAGCGGTATCTCGAGCGATCGTGTTCGGTCGCAACTTAAGTCGGAAACCTTGACCCTGTAATTGACGGCCATCAAATGTGTTCATTGAATGTTATCAAGGTTTCAAATGTTTTCAAGAGTTCTTTGAACAAGCATTGAGATGTTAGAAAAAAAATCATTGGATCATAAAGCTTACATCCGAAAAAACATATCGTGTAAATTGATATAAAGCAATCAAAACAAAAAAACATTATTTCAATTTATTTTATTCTATATTTTTTTCTGGATAAATAGTTTATAGATTTACCAATAAATCTAGGATAAGATAGTAATTAATAGAGAATTCTCAGCGGCGCTTCAACAGGTTGAAATACTTTCTGCGCGTGCTAAAGTTGTTTATCTTTCAATGATAAGTTTTATTTATTGTTGGATTACTGCGGAACAAATTTATTTATTTATTCATTTACTATTTCCACCCTATGTGGTATCTAGTAAAGAATCTCTCCCTCCCCCCTCTCTTTAACAAAATCTGTGTTTAGAGTGGCGAGAGGCCTTTCGACTGTTCGACAGAGACGGGGATGGATCGATCACGGTTGAGGAGATAGGGACTGTGATGAGGAGTCTGGGACAGCACCCCACCGACACAGACCTCACTGACATGATCAAGGATGTCGACATTGACGGTAAGGGGGGGGGGGGTTGTAAAGGCTCTATTGGAGGGATAGTGGCAGAGTGGGGACGGGGTTGTTTTAAATCGCGCATGACATAGAAGTGAAAATTTTTTTAGCAGTGAAAAAATAGCAACTAGTGAATAAATTTTTTTTTATGTGGTGAATATTATTTTCCGTTTATATTTTTTTGAGTGTTGTTTTTTGATTTAATGAACAAAACGGGTTTAACACCCGAACCCTGAAAAGAGTTTCACTCGGAGAAGGGGGAGCAGCGCTGGAGAAAGGGTTGGAGGGTAAAACGGGCAGGACTAATGAGAAAGAATGGTTAAATTGGGCTAATGAGATAATAATGGGCTAATACGAGGAAAGTAGTGGACAGTGCTGGTACACTTTGTGTCAGTTTGAGTGGTTGCACTAAATTAATGAACACAAGGGAGGCTCTTGGTTGGTTGGTGGCGTATTGTTAAGAGTCGAAGATCGGTGTGGTCGAAAATTAATTGTTCAGAAGCCTTAAAAAGTTTTTCATTTATCTCTTTCTTTATTTGTTTATGCTTGCTTTGAATCTTGTTGCAGAATAAACTTGTGGTGCTTGTAACCTAAAGTGAGGCAACAATTCTCAGCCCCAGAAAAATAATCAAAAAACGTCCATGTAGTTCATTTGCATGGGAACAACAGCGGCTCTCCGTAAAAAAATGATCGGCTCTTTTGTGTATCGTATATCTCGTTCGCGCATAAATGATTTTAAAGTTGAAAGATTATATCTGAGCTCTTGTTTGAAAATTTTTGCATGTTATTTGTTTTTAGGGTCGCACACTATAGACTTCAGTGAGTTCCTGTACATGATGGCGAAGAAGATGAGAGATACTGACTCGGAGGAGGAACTCAGAAGTGCATTCAAGGTATTAAAAACAACATGTGCTATGAATGAAGAGCACACTTAATATGGTGCACTTGTAAGTTTGATGAACATCTTTTTATGAAAACATTATTTATAGTTGCAATTTTTATTTGAACGATAACAATCGAGTAATTCGAAGTTTGAATAATTCGAAACGATTGGAATAATTAAAACTCAAAAAAGGCGTACATACTTTCAGCTATCAAAGTTCTTTTACTAAATGGAATATGTGCTTCTTTTTGTCGCTACAAACCCTGCTGTCTTTTTGTAGGTGTTCGATAAAGACAACCTTGGAGAGATAGACACGGACCAGATGCGCAGTATCCTCCGACTGTCCAAGATGAGCGAGGAAGAGGTACGGAACATACGTTCTGTAATGATGTTTTGTTTTATCTTTTGAGTTACGTATAATTTATGATCAACTTTTTTTTATACTTTCAGATACTTTGTTTAAACTTTTTTTACTTTGTGTTTTACCTTTTTGCAATTTTCAAGAACAAAAAATGGCATTCGATTGATATACATTTTAAATACATTTTAGCCGTCAATCGAATCCCCAAAAAATGCTTATGCCAAATCTCCAAAAAAAATTATTTGACATTTTTGATTTCAAGATAAATTATGTGATATCGCAAGATAATAATAACTAGATAATTTTGTCTGAGCTAGAAAAACGATCATACTTGTCGATGTACTCGTTGGGGTCGATCAAACCTGTTAGGAGACCCGCATGGTGGCTTTAGATAGAGGGTTTTATTTGTTCTTCCGGCTTGGTTGTGTAGATGGCAACTTGAATAGTATTGGGAAAAGAGTAGCTTTATATGATGTTTTACAGAAAGGCATGTTTTACAGGAAGGCATTTAGTATTTAGGTGTTTGAATTTTGTACTTTTAGTGCACCCATTTACAGTGCGGAGGGCGGCTTTACGTACAGTTTGTAAATTTTGGATGGAGGTAGTGCTGATTTTGTGACCATGCTGGGGCGGCGTACTCTACATTTTGTCTAATCATAGCTTTGTGCATAATTAGAAAGGTTTCCATATTTTCAGGACTGAGCTACGATTCTTGCCTTTAGTAGCTTGAATCTAGCAGTGCAGTGAATATATGCATGGGTCTAAGTTGAGTCATAGTTTTTTGGAGTTGTGGTCCAGTGGGAGCAGAGTGTACTGGAGTTTGACTTGGTGTGAGTCTTCTAGTTTTTTGAGCCACGTAAGAATAGTGTTACTGAGCATTTGGAGAGAAAAAATTTCAAATTGAAAGTGTCGAAGAAGGTGTAAATGGAGTCTAGATAAGCGGAGAGAGAAAAAGATAGAGTTTTGATATTTGTGCGTTGAGTCTAGACATTGAAACCCTCTGGATATGATATAATGGTTTTATTTTCAAGAAAGGGAATCGCGGTCATAGTACTTGAGAGTGTGGGGGATATGACTGAGCCTTGAGAGACTCCACTGCTGACTATTCTCGCTTTGGTTAGATGGTCTCTGAAAAAGGATCTGACCTGTTTACCGCTGAAATAGTTGCTTAGCCAGCGGCTGGTAGGTTCAGGCATTAAGGAGTTTGTCAATTTTTCAATGCCGGAATGCTGGCTCAAGCAACCGAAGGCTTTTAATAGATCTAAAGCTACAAAAAGTGTTCTTTTAGGGGCAATTTTTGAACAAAACCATGAGAAAATAAATTGTCTAAGGAGGTTATGACGCTGGTGGAGTGCAGGGGCAGGAAGCGTGTTGGTGTGGCTTATGTTTTAGGTGTTGTTTTATTTGAGGAATGAGGAGTGCTTCAACAATTTTGATAACTGGGCTGAGTAGGGAAATAGGGCGATAAGATTTAGACAGAGTGGGGTCTTTAAAGGGTTTATCGAGGGGAAGTATGGAGACTGTTTTCAAAATTGATGGGATCTGCGAAGCGCGCAAATTAGATTTATGACTTTAGTGAGGAAGTCAAGGGCAGTTTTTTTGAGATGTTTCAAGTGAGTCATTGCAAGCCCATTGAGACCGAAAACTTGAGATGGACGCGTCATTTTTTTTTGCATTTCTTCATTTCAACAGTAGAAAACTGAGGCGCATCTACAAAGGAGAGTTGCCTTGCGTATCTCTTTATGTTACGATTCCGTTTGCAAGTTTTGTGTGTTAGCGCGAAGAGTGAGTTGAACATTAAATACGTTCGCTATTGAAAAGGGGTCAGTGAGGGACTTTGAGTTGGGAAGTATATTGTGGTTTGAGTCTTCGGGGCGTGAATCGTTCAAAGTGTGCACTAATTGCCAAAGTTTGCTGACGTTGGTTCTATGGCTACTCGAAGTCCCGAATTCGCGCCAAGTTTTCTCCTGATTAGCATTGGATATTTTGCTATATTTTTGTTGAGAGCGGTAATGTTGGGGCCGGTGGGTTCAATGAGTCTAATGTGGTCGCGTTGTTTGATTAAGACTTTGGCTTCGTCTGGAATGCAGGCTTTCTCGGATTTGCGGCGGCCGCAGGGGATATGGTGGTTGACTGATTGGAGGATTGCGTCCCTGGATACTTTCTCGCCTTTGTAAACATCGTTAGGGTCCTATTTATTAGAGAGTTTTTCATGGGTTTTCCCCCTCGCGAGGCCTGGCTCCTGTGATAAGCCAGGAGTTGACTTCCGTGGACAGGTTAAACAAGACAAGTTCTTTTTGCAGATAGAGGAATTGGTGCGCGTGGCGGACAGGGAGTGCAGGGGTGTGGTGCAGTATGACGTCACATTCCGCCAATGGTGTCCATCTACGGAGAAGTACTGGGAGACAGTGGCCCGACAATATCACAGACACAACAGAAGCAACTTCAGATATAGGTTCTTTTCCAACGGAGCGCTGATCCTCAATACTTTTATAAAAAACTAAGGCATGCTGAAACGTGCTATTAAGGATTTGACCCCCTCGCCGCACAAACACCCAAAAAACCCACTTTTTGCTAAAGCAAACGATTTTGCTAACGACATCCATTTTCAGTCGAAAAACCTAATTTTTTTCTAGACGCGCTTTTGGCGCCATTATATGCTTGAGGGGGATCTATTCAGTTGATAATTCTCGTTGATTGTGCAATAAAAGTGAAAATGATAAATCAAAAATAAAATACAAGAAGTATAGGTTATAAAGTATAATGATTAGCAAGAACAAGAATAGCCAGTTGCTATCCAACTAGCACGAAACTTCCCGACCACCAGGGATTCAGAAAGGATATTCAAACACAAAGAGGAAAAAAAAACAAAAAAAACTGAAAAAAAATCTCAATTTTTTTAGAGTTCGAATCACAATCCATAGGGCTTTAATATGAAAAAACACTTGATTCTATGTAGAATTTTTTGGGGGTAATATTTCAAGCAAAACTAGCGGATAGGTTCTTCCCTTCCATCACAGAATAGCAATTTAAAAAAAATACAAAAGACTGGAAAAGAGCCCAAAAGCAGAAACGCTAAATCAACGCGCAAACAACAGCTGCAGAAAGAAAATCAACACACCGATTCTAATGAAGATACGAGCAAGAGGAGCAAAAGAGTCCGGCAGACGAGAATAGTGGTCCAGGGTATACTGGCCCGGTTTTTGGGTCTCAACCAGTCGATAAGGGGGAAATCTAAGCCATCTCAGGCACATACACAAGTGGAGATGGTATCAATGATGTCAGGAGAACCAGGTTAGACTATTTACGGCTTTTTGTTAGTTCCCCTTTTTAATTTTTGCAAAAAAATTGGAACCAAAAAGCCATTTGTAAACTTTTTTCTGTTTAATTAATTTTGCCCATTTTGTTTGGGAAGGGAAACTGGAAAACAGCCGCACTTACTTACATTTATCACATAAAAAGGGTTCGACTGCCTTGGATAAAAGAGAAATTTGAAACTTGACTGATTTTATTTGGACTCCTTTAGATTGGACTTTGGAAGTCGTGCTTTTTCGTATCCGACCCAAAAATGAAAAAAAATTATGCAGATAATGTAGCAAAGACCTAAAAAATTGATTTGAATCGCTTGAAAATTCATTTGGTTTGATACAAAATGTAAATTAAAATGCCAATTTGAATCGATTCTAATTTGGTTTAAATCCATGTTTTGTCAACTTATTTTGTTTTCATTTTTGTCCGAGTTTTACTAACAACAAAATCGATTTATATCAATTCAAATCAAGTTTTGTCTTCAACTTTTAGGCAACAAAATCGGTTTTGTTTTCTACCGTTAAAGTTCATTTAATCCATTCTATCGTAAATCGCTTTCTATTCTAGATTATCTGTAAAAATATCTATTTAAATCGATTTCAATCTCAAGTTTGACATTGCGGTGTAACAAACGTCTTGAAAATTATATCAAAGTCAGCCTAGCCTCTCTTACGTAGCTGAAGTTTAGGAAGGGTCAAAACACCAAAATATTTTAAGAAACATCTATTTTTGATTGATAGACAATGTTATTTTTACTAAAATAAAACATCCCTTTTTTTCTTTTAAAACAACTCTTTAACAATTTGCGCAATTTGTTTGTAGACTGCCCGCACCGGAGTTCCATGGATAATAATCGATTATATTGGAAAAATGTTGTCTGAAATGTTGTCATTATAATCCATTATAATCCATTATAATCCATTATTGTGGCAAATTTAGACCACGTAATCGATTATGTGGTCATTAAAATCGATTTTTTTTGAAAAATAAAAATCCATTATAATCCATTATAATCCATTATTATCCATTTTTTTCTTCAATATAATCGACTATTTTGTCAAGAAAATCCATTATATTCCATTTTTTTTTCGTTAATTAGGCTATTCTATTTTTAGTTCTTTCTATGTCTGGAAGAAAAAAGCAAGTTTAAAAATGTAAGATTACTAAGTTTTCCTAAAAACATGCAGGGTAAAGTTTTGGGTATAATATAAACGTTCCAGGTCTGGGTAATATAAACGTTCCAGGTCTGGGTAATATAAACGTTCCAGGTCTGGGTAATATAAACGTTCCAGGGCAGGTTGAAATAATATAAAATTACGAAGGATTATTAGTCATATTTTGTCATGTTTGGGTCTATTTGCGTTTTAAAGTCAATTTGAGGTCGCACAATTTCTAAAAAAAAATTTCGAAAATTTGAAAAAAATTTTGTCAAAAAAAATTATGAAAATATATATTGAATTTAATTTATTCCATACTAAGCACCTGACATTGGTAACAGTTTTCCTGAAAATTTAAAAGAAGAAATTCGCAATTATAATCAATTATAATCGATTATAATCAATTAAAAATGGAATATTTTGCTTTAAAAACAAATTTTATTCTCTTTCAAAAATAATCGATTATAATCCATTATAATCTATTATATTGGGATTATATTGCTTAGAGAAATAGTATCATTATAATCCATTTTAAATCGATTATAATCGATTATTTTTGTAGTTTTATTGATATTGTCAACAAAAATCCAATATAATCGATTATTATCCATGGAACTCCGGTGCGGGTGTTCTTTTAAAAAACTTTGTTTGCGTGAGTGAGAGGTTGACTTTAAATTAAATTTCACTTTTTTAACTCATTAGATTTAACGTAAATTTTGATTGACTTAGAGAAGCCAAAAGGACTCATTTCTGGGATAAAGTTTTAGTCCCGAAATTCGCTAACCAATTGCTGCGCTATAATAACTCTGGTAAAATTCTTAGCTTTTTTTGTTCATCAGTTTTGGCCTTATCTCAGCCCAAATTCAAATTTGATTCATTTTGATCGGATATTTTAAATCAGCACTGTATCTATTTTGGCTGTATAGCGGAAAAACCCTTGAAGTCTTGCTATGACATAATCCCGTCTCAAAATATTTTTTTTTCAAAGCAATTTAGCGTATAATTAAGTCACCAAAAGATAAAATTCGCACCATTGCGAGCAAATATTGAGACGAAAGTTTGCACCTAATACAATTGCATTAGCCAAAATTCTTCTCAGAGTCATAGATTTCTCCTTTTTAATTGCAAACACAGGTCAGGTTTAAGCAGAACTTGAAAGCATAGACAGGAGTCCTCAATAAAAAGTGGGAGATACTTAACAATATACCCTCGTATGGTATCTACTAAAGACTTTCTACCCCTATAGACAAAAGCAATAATTTACCACCAAAGCTCTCGATTTGAAATCAATTTTTGCTACTTTCTGATTGGTCAAAAATTTGCAGATTGATTTTGCCTTACAAACCACTCTTCCTTTGTTGAGAGGGGGAGATTGTATAGTAGATCCAAAAAGTGCATTGAATGTAAGTCGTGTATTTCTCAATTTATTTTCTTAAAACTAATGTTCGAATCAATCGTACAATCTTACCCCCTCCCCCCCTTAGTGACCTGCCGTAGAATGCCCTCCCCAATTCTGTATAAAATTTGCATTTCATACAAGCGGGCAAATAAAATTGAATTGGTTTTTACACTTTTTTATGCGGGCTTGCATTTTATGCTATTTGTTACACAAATTAATATTTTATTTCAATTTTATTTAGTGATACGGATAATTTTTAGCTTATAAAAAACCCATATTTCCTCCCCCTTAAACCGATTTGAGGGTGGGGGAATTGTACGGTTGATCCAAGTTTTCATCCTGTTCAAGATTCATCTTCATCGTTGGCCAGTCCGTTTACTCAAACCCATTCCAATGTCCCCAGAAGCGCGTCTCTTTGTGCAACCAGCTCTGCAATGACAGTAGCAGTCACCACAGCCACTCCATCTCTGGCCCAAGTCCATAAAGATGACTCATCGATAAACCAACCGGATCCAGCTAAACAACTGCAGTATGATAAAGAGCTACACTACCAAACCGCTTCCATGAAGCATCACCCAAATACGGCCCCCATTTTAGCCTCCGCTTCAGTCCTCTCCGTTCAAGGAGACCCAGCCAGCTATAACCGAAGGCAAGTGTCTCTTTTTCTCTGGATCTTCTAATACCTAATTTGGATATTACAGGGAGAAAATTTTAAAAGACCTCTTATCTTGTTTGAACCTAATTTTCTTTGGAAAGCGGTAGACTTTATATAATTTGAGAAATAAAACATCAGTGATTTAACGCTAGTCCACCATCGACCCTGTGTACCTGACATTTGTGTCCAACAAAATTGCCCAAAAGATTGGAAAAAACCCAAACAAAATATGCCCAGAAATTTGGATCACAAAGTGTCCTCCTTAAACTTGCGATGTTTTTACCAGCTCATGAGGGCAAGCACGTGTTTGCAGTGCTTCTGCAACTCTAAAATAACTTAAACTTGGATAAAGTTGGATAACTTGACTTGGGGCAATTTTGTTTTGGACACAAATTTTTGAGTAAATTTCACATTTTTGGTGTATTTTTTTTCTGGCAAACAATCATTCGAAAATCAAGTTTCTATGCCCTCAAACTTTCATGCTTGATTCGAGGATTCGGATTTTTTCCAGTTCCCCCTTTGATTTTTTTCTGAAATTCAATTCATGGAATTCTATTTAACATGATTTTTTATGTTAAAAATTGCATCAAAACGTAACAGCGTGAAAAGGTGAACAAATTTTCACAACAATTCTTATATGCAAAATTCCGTTTAAACAATTTTCGAACAGTTTTGTTTTGTAATTTTACGAGGGGGCTGGGAAACTCTGGAAAAAAAGCCGAAGAATCTACGTTTATCCAGGTGTTCGCTCAGTGGCAGTGGGGTCAATTGGGGCTTGGGCGAAGAAAAAACTCCCCCTATAGTATCTCGATCCACCAGCAAACCCAAAATAGCTTCTGTCATCAGAGAGGAGTCCAGAGGCAGTCTCACAGTTGGACTATACGAGGGGGTTGAAGGAGGGGTGGGGGCAAGGGGCGACAGGCTAAGTCTCCCACGATCAAATGAGTTACGTCACTCTTCTGCTTCCATTTCTCCCACTAGCAGAAGGTACACCGATTCCAGGTTGTCAAAGGTAAGTTTGCCAAAATGGTTCAATTTGCGCGGCGTTTTTTGGTTGTTGCTGCAAATTTGCGATAATTTTTGGCTGCTGAAAGTTAGTCGGCTGTTCTGTTGATGGTTTCTCTGATGAAATTACATCCTTTAGAGCAGTAGCGGGCTTAGGGGGGAGGGAAACTTGGGAGAGGTGAGTAGGCTTGAGAGGACGCCTTCCTTTTCTTCAGGGATTCGACTTATTGGCGACCCATCGGTTCCCCCTTTGTTTTAAGTTAACTATTTTTAGCTGACCCAACCTAAGCGCTTTGATTCGGTTGAAGCGCTTGGATTAGTTTTTTCGAGAGTTTCAGTTTTCTTAAACTTTTTAAAGACAATCATATAGCAGCACGTCGTCAAGTCTCAAAATAGGGAACTACAAGGTATGGGCATCGATTGCCCCTTAGAAGCCAGTAATTCAAAAACATATTCACGCAAGGCTAACACAAAGTGAACACAAAACTGACAAAACATGGCCTTGAGAAACTCATTGAACTCAGGGTAACGTTTTTTTAGTTGCAATTAAAAAAATTTGGGGCGTATTGAAAAAGCTCTTCCTGTAAAACCACTCGCTTTTCCACATTGCGTCCTCTCCGAGGTTCGATCCCCATACCAGTCTGACTTTTTTTAATTTAGACTGGCCGAATGCGCACTCTTCAGAAACAAAACACGATGCTAGTGGCACCCACTGAGTTCGAAGAGATTCATTCCCAGGACACTTCAAGAAGACATCTGCAAACGAGACACCACCAACAGTTCCAACAGAGTCATCAGTTCCAGGACTTCAGTGACATTGTCAATTATGTCGTACAGTCTTACAGTAGACAGTCGGTGGCACAAGCGAGCGTTTCAGACGAGACGAAACAGCAGAAGTTGCCAAGAGTTTGCACCACGAACAACGTCACCGGAAACTGACTCAAATAAAAAGCTGTATATTTGTCATGAGGAATTCATTATTGAAAACAAACAGACAATTAAACTACGTTCGAAACAAAACACAAAAATTGATAAAATTTGAGTAATTCTAAAATGATCAAAAATTCATATTTCTCATACCTTTTACATTTTTCAATTTTGTTCAAAGATTTCAAAAGTATTGAAATATGTTGTAATTATAGCGAAAGAGCAGAAACGTTTGAAGCGCAGTGATTTTTGCAAAAAAAAAACTATTGATAAACTTCTTCAAAAATCTCTTTTTTCGAAATCTACTGAAACTTACCTACTGAAACTTACATTCATAAAAACATTAATAGTCGCTAAAATTTCATTAAAAATGCAAACTCACAGTTGGAGTGACATCCTCATCCACTCTCCTGTCGGTAAATTTGCCGAATACCAAAACATAGACCATTTTTTTGACAGAGAGAAAACGTATTTGAATTTTTTAGGAGACCGAAACACGACTAGAATTTATTTAGTATGATGCTAAAACCATTCAGCCACATACGCGCTTGCTGAATAGATATCGCACAGAAAAACGATCATTAAATCAAAATATTGCCCGTAATTTTCATACTATTTGACATTTTGACTTAAGAAACATCATTACTCTGTAGTTTTTGCAAAATAAACCTCAGAAAAATAACTTTTATTTCAAAAACTTTGCAAATGAATAGTCACGAATATCACACTAGCTCGGGAAAGTTGATTTTATTTAAAACCTTCAATTAAAAAAATCTCCAACCATAGAAGTATCATAGAACTTGCTCAGTTTATGGAATGGTATGTCGCATTTCGTTATTCGCATATTTGGCCCTAACAATTTTGTTCGCTCAGTTCACAACCACATATTAAACGCAAAAATTTCCATTGGCCGTGCAAAAAAGTTCCATTAAAATTAATTATGGAAAATGCTAAAAATACATCGGGACGAATTGTGAGAGAAAAGTTGGGGAAAAACGTGTGAGAGGCGAGATGTTCCCTTGAAATCAAGAGGGGCAAAACGTGCCATTTCCGCATGGCACGTTTAAAAACTGCACTAACTTTGGCTGCTGCTAATTTGGCGTCTCTTTTTTGTCGGCCGCATTAATTTTATAACGATAATATCAAAGATGGGGACGATTTAGGATTTTTTCGAAAAGGGGCAACTTTTCGAAAAAAAGACAACATTTTGACGTTTCAGCCACCTGAAACTGAATTTTCTAAAAAAACACAATCTCAGCGATAGTTGATATGAACATGTCAGCTCATGAAGTAATTTTCTCAATTTTTGTACTCTTCTAGACGAAGAAGAAAATAGGGAGAAAATAAGTTCCGACCGCATAAAATCACACATTTCAACTAAACAATCTGCGGTTTTATCTTCATAACATCAATTTTCAAGTATATACAATGCCGATAAAATTGAATAAAATGACCTGAAATTATCTTTCAAAATATGAGTTAAATAATTGATATTCGATTTAATTCGGTTGTCACTGTACATCTAATACTCGAAAAATTAACCTTTTAGCTCAATTACTTGAAGAACTAGCTCCATGATACTAACCGACAGTCGTGATCAAAATAGTCCCAGATATGAACAACCGTTCCCCGCCACCTTCATATTTGCACGCTAACCGCTACTCCGCCCAACAAAACTATCAGCATCAACCCAACCAGTACCAAAACCCTCATCAATTCAGAGTTCCATCAGCTTTTCCTCAAGTACCATTACACGTCTCGCCTTTTGCCTCCAATCCATCGACTTCTTTCGGAAATCCGACAGCTTACTCGACATATCCGACGTTTCCAGGCCACACAGCTCCAGAAGAACAGCCATACGCTGGCATAACTGGGGGTGTTTTAGAGGAAAGCGGTCTTACTAGTACTATGAGTGTTTTAGATCAGGAACCGTTTCATCTTTTACACCATCTCGCTTTTCCTTCGTCATCTAGTTCTGAATACCCTTTAAACTTCTCAGTTCCACAAGTGTTGCAGTCGCTGTTCGCTTATTGTTTTCTCTTCTCAGCCTCAAAGCTGATGCGACAGTCGGTGTTGCCTTTCAGAAGAGGTTTCTTCTGCCACGACCAATCCATCAGGTAAAAGCAAAACGACAAAACAAGCAAAAAAAGAAGGGCGAATTTCTAAGAAACTCTCAGAAGAGCGCATCTACTACAATTTTCATTGCCTAAAATACAAAAAATTATTTTTCAGTAGATGGCGTAACTTAGTTTTCTATTTCATTTTGAAATCTACTTTGAGGCTCTCCCTGTAAGAACAGCTTATTTTGTATGTTTTTGTATCAGCTAAAACTGACAAGTTGTTCGAAATTAAACTAAACCTTAATAACCCCTGAATTTCTCTAAAATTCGGATATCGGACAGCAACTGAGTCATTTTTTGTTCATGCCATATTGAGGGATTCGTGTGTTTTGTGCAGCTACCCGTTTCGCCAATCGACTGTGTCTTCGTCCCTTGTCTACTTAATCGGATACTCCTCCAACATGCTGGCCATACTATGTGTGGAATGGACACTCGCATTCATAATCTACAGTCACGGCAGGAATAGCAGAAGTCGGAAAGTCTCTTCGCCTTCAGGTGAATATCTCGAAACTCTGGATAAAAGCCGTTGAATTATCAACAGAAAAAAAAGAAAAAGGCAGCAGATTGAATCTATCCATCCATTCAGTCTTGTTTTTTTTCATACGCTGTATTTTGATGTTTCGAAGAGTGGGAGCCGCAGTGACCTTCATGGACAAAAGTTTTATTCATTTAAAACTTTAAAATTTTTATTTCAATGCGAAATATTTTTAGCATCCTGAATAAAAAAATTTAAGTTTTAATGGAATAATTTTTGTAGTCTCAAAGACCATTAGAATAGTGCGTAGTCCATTCGCTTTTTTGTATTAGATTCCAAACTCAATCTCTATTCTGCATTTTTTTTCGGAAATTAGTGTGAATAGTTAAATACTACCCCAAGCATGTATATTCCTCGCTTTTTTTCAAAAACTGGAACAGAACAGAGAGTTTAAATCAATTTTAGTCCGTTTTTATACAAAAAAGCTTGAGTTTCATTTTTTTAATAATCAATCATAATCCAATTTGGTTGCTGCTACTTTTTTACTGAATTTTCTACCAATTATACGCAGATTAGATTGTATACGTTTTATACAGATTGTAAAAGCATTTTTCAAATATAAAAACAGATTTTTTTCAATAAAGAGCAACATACTTAAAACATAGAATCTGAGGCTAAAAACTAATTTTTTTGCAGCATCTACAAATGATTGTTTTATAAAGATTTTTTTCTTTGGGTTATCCACACATTATATTCAGAAAATGGTAGGGGTTATACAAAAATTGGTTTTTGAGCAAAAAGTTGAATCACTTTTGGTAAAAAAGAATCAACTTATCTGCTTCGATATGGTTAGCAGAAAGGCAAATTTTAATGACATATCAATTCCATACTACATTTTTTAATGATTGATTACAAAATAAAAATTCATTGCAATCAATACAGTATAAAAATTATTACAATAAAAACTGCCCGTTTTTTTACTGCTGGAAAAGCTATACTGTACCTAAAATATTTTTATACTAATTTCGCTACCCAAGAGTATTGTAATTGGTGAGTAATTTTATAGGTGAATGACTGAAAACTTGGTTTTGTTCAATAGTAGTAATATGTTAATAAGTTTGAATTACTTTTTTAAGAAGATAAAACTCAAAAAATGTATTTTTCAAAATCTTTCATAGTTTAGTTTTCTCGCCGCTAATGATCGTTGGATTAAAAAACTTGCTGTCTCGTTCTTTGTTTTTTGTATACGTTTTGGCGACGAATATCTAGTATGGACAGAGTTTGATACAAAATCCAAAATTTTTTCTTGCCAGCACTTTTGAATAAAAAGAATGTTGGTGAAGTTGACATGCTTTGCATGAAATTCCAAACCTCGCCTATAATTGTTAAAATAAGTGAAGCTGACCTTCTATACAGCTCCACAATTTTTAAAAGGAAGAGACCAATTATGACAGAAATTTTTTTAAATACTCAAAAATTTCAACATTCCTTTGTAAATTCTAACGAAGCTTTTTCTTTCAAATAACTTAGGCTCAGATTGAGTTGTTCTGAAAAAGTTAGTTGCTAAAATTATTTTGAGACGTTGCAAAAATCAAACCCCCTAGCCCATAAATTCCAATTTTTTGGTTAAAAAAAACAAAACGTTTGTGATTTTTTAAATAAAAGTATTGTTCCAAGCTGTCAAAATTAAATAAACTGTAGTTATTTTGACACAAAAATTTCAAATTGGTTCGATTTTATTTTTTTGAGAGCTTTGCGTTTTCCTATTACCCGTGCCATGTCATGCTAAGAAAAAACTGGTTATTTGAAAACTCGGAAAAAAATCAGCATTGTTTGTGGTTTGAAAACCTTGTCTTGCGCAGCACACTCAAAGTACTCAAGTTTCATTTTGCGTCTCATTCGTTTGGTACCTCAAAAAACCGCAGATAGAGAGCCAACTGTTGAATTGAAATACCACAAAAAGAAGTTCAAATTCAACAATTGGGAATTAATTTCAACAAACAGTTAAAGAACTGGACGTTCAACTTCATCACAAAAAAACTCAAACAAAACAAAGACAATTTTAAGTATATAAGTGTAACAAACCTACTTTCAATCAATACACTTTTTTGTTCGAGTTCAATATATTCTATATCCTTTTCATTTAAACAAAGATTAAAAGACATGAGAACATTATTCGCCCAAGTTGCACTTTTGTCTGTTGTTATGATTGAGCTATTTTCTTCCTTTATTGCATCAAAGTGTTTTCATGTGTCCCGACAAAAAAGTCATGTGCAAAACGAATCTCTTTTCATTTTCCTGATAATGAAGCAATAAATTAGCAGTCATAACAGCAGCAAAAAGTGCACCTTGGGCGAGCAATGTTCTCATGTCTATTGCCTTTTCTTTAAATGAAGAAGATGTTCAATGACTTGAGTTTGAATAGTGAGCTTTGTTTTGTTTGAAAGTTTTGTTTCACTTATATGGTTAAAAAATGTCAGTGATGCATTCGAATTTCATGTGTTAACTTTGAACTTCTTTTTCTTCTTTTGGACTTTTTGTATATTTTGAATTCTCTAATGTTGAGTTTGAAGATTCAGAATGACGTATTTGATTTACAAAAGGTTGATTATACACTTTCAGTATTTTTTAGTGAATGATTTCCAGTGTGTGCATTGTCTGATGTCAAATTTTATTCCAATTTAGAAGGAGTAGAGCAAAAAATTTATTTTTTAAGCTCATGCAAACTAAGTTTTCAGTTTTAGAAAATTTATAATTAAACGATTCAATTAAGATTTATTAACGCTGCCACAACACAAGGTTAACAAATCTAAAAAAAACTAATGACTTTGAAACTTGAAAAAAAAGTATTCCTGTTTTGATAGTGTTTATAATTTGAAGTGTTTATAATTATAGTTTATATACTAACTTTTTTTGGCGCGCGCTCCCCCTCAAAGTTAGTATATATTGGCGCCGAAGGCGCCTTTAGAAAAATTTTAGGGTCGGTCGGCCAAAAATGGATTTCTGAAAAAGTATCAAAGGGGGGACTCTTTGGGTCGACAGGGGGTCAAATCCCTGAGGGGGGGGGGGGAAATGGTGAGAAATATTTGAAAAGATTTCAAATTTTGTCGAATCCCCCCCTAAATCCGCTACTGATTGACACTTTGTAAATATAACTTTTGTTTTGTGGTAACTGGATCAAAAGAATAATTTAAAATTCCACTGGGAATTGTGAAAATTAGAATGCATTTTTGAAAGTGCTTCGAATTTTTTTTAAAATGGATTATGCCTTCTCGTACGGATCATAGATGTTTTGCAAAACAACAAACTTTCAACTGCTAACATATCAGCGTGCTATTTTTGTTTTTAGTTTGTATGTTGAGATGCTGCTTCAGACAATAATACGTTTCAGTCTTCTTGGATGAAAAATAACGAGAGTTCTTTTTGTGCCAGAGGTATCATTCATTATGTTCAGGTGTGCCTGGATTTGGCTGGTTGAGGAGACTCCTCTGGCGCTCTGGGCTGTTCTTCGGATCCCTGGTCCACTGCAGCCTTCCCTTCCTATTCGGAGGAGTGCTCTGCATGACAATCACTGACCTCGGAAAATTCACCATTGGTAAGGTAAAATCAATTTTAGAAAAAAAAAGTTAAATCAAAACATACTTCCAAATATAGTTTATCAATATGCGCTTTTTGTAGAAGCATACATGCACACTTCTTATGATAGAAGGGTAGCTTTTTAATAGATTATGGTGCACAAAAGGGGAGTTTTAGATTACATCATAGCGATTCGATACGTGATTGACTCTCTCTGCTTTTTTTCTGGAGTTACTTCAAACAACGTAACTTTCACGCCATTTCAAAATGTTTTCACAATCTAGATATCTCATTTTCAGGTGCTACTTTCGATTTACTTTTTCCAATGGACTTGTCTAAGATCAATTGCCCAACATTCATAAATTTGTTTAAGACAACTTATCCACAATAGAAAGGACTGACATACGTGCAGTTATGCTTATTACTTGAAGTTGCTAAATTCTATTTTTTGGGGAAAATCCAATTTCTGCGCTGAGTAATTTCTGCGCCTCACCCGGAAGCATGAACGCGTAAATACACGTTATGACATGATTCCCGTTTTTGACTAGGAAGATTGAGACCCCACTTTCTAAGTGTGTGCGAACCCAACTGGGATCTAGTTAACTGCTCCTCCTCGCCCTCAGGGGGCTCCTACATCCTACACGACGTCTGCACCGGAGATCCAGCAGCTATCCGGGACGCCAGACTTTCGTTTCCCTCCGGGCACTCCTCACTGGCTTTCTACGTGGCCACTTTCCTGGTGCTGTATCTGCATAAAAGAGCCAGACCTTACATTCCACTGGCACCTCTGCTGACTCCTATGGTCACTCTAGTGGCTCTGCTTTTGGCACTCTTTACAGGTGAAGAGAACAGTTTTTTTTACTTCACCAGAAAAGAAATTTTGACAGATTATCTGAAAGAATACAAGGTTTGATATAGATAATAATGTCAGGCAGAAGCCTCACATTGTTGTCAGGTTTTGTTATTCAAGCAGTTTTTTTTTGTTTTTTTTTGTAAGTAGACGTATTCAAATAAAATTTTTTACTATATTTGGCAGAAAAGAGGAATGCGAACCAGAGTCGAAATTTTTGCATAAAACTTTCCAGTAAAAGGGTCTGAATGAGCCCAATTTTTAGTACCATTGGTTCCCTAGTTATCACGGAAAAATGACGCCCAATTAGGAGCCCAATATTTAGAAAATGGGGCTCATTCATCTCATTACATGGCAAATCAAGGACCAAAAAATGGGTTCAATCATATTCTTTTCTACAAAAACATTTTTTCCTTGAGGGAATCGAACCGACCCATAGTGTACCCAAGACCTCTGTTCCACCTCTGTTCTATCAATAATTAAAGTTACTATTTTCTCTTTTTGGTCTATTTAAAATAAAATTGAGCTCATTTAGCTTATTTTGCTAAAATTTGGGCTCGTTTAATCCTTTTTTCTAGAATTGGGTTAAACCTGCACCCTCCATGGAAAAAATAGAGGCCAAAACGAGGTCCAATTTCGAGCCGGGAAGGAACCATGCTAATAAAAAGGAATCTTTTTGAGCGAGTGGAGAAAAGAGCTGCTAATGCTAAAGTGATTGAGATTTAAATTGAAAACTGCCATTTACACATTCTGAGCACCGCAAGTTTCCCTGAACATGAAGTAATCAAGTGTGTCAAATTTTGCGTAAAAAGCCTGTGTGCAAGCAAACTTGCCAGGACTAGGTACCTCTTCAAAAAATCCAGATTTACTGTCTAATCAATATAACGAAACAAACGCGATAGCATGCTGATACTCGGTTAGATCGGTCCAACAAATCAAGTGTGCGTCTAGGTTTTTCTCAATTTTCTCAAAAAGAAGGGGGATTTTCACAAAGTTTTTAGAAAAGTGTACAAATTAAAATGTACCTGTAAATCATTAGTAAATAGCATATGTTTTTCGTTTCAGCACACCGGAAATCCACTTTGAAATCATTTTTGTGAACAAAAAAACTTAGAACAAAAAAAAATCTTAGACTAAGTTAATACTGACTATATTAAGAAATTTTCTAATTCAGTCTATAAGAGTTTTCTACTTTAGACTAAAAAATAAATTAGTTTCTTAGCTTAGACTAATTTAAAAACTTAAGAACAAGCATAATCCGATTGATATTTTAGTTACAATGGATGAGAAAAAAATTCAGGACTGCTCAGTACAATATTACAACTGAGTTAGGACCGAGTTGGTTAACTCATAGAGTAATTTCGGATAGGGTACACCGTCTGCTCGTCACGCTATCTTATTTTCGGCCGGATAGATTCGTGCAACTTCTTAGTCTAATACCGATCCTAATCTTACTCTTATACTATCTAGTCTCAGGTTGTTTAACTAGTCTCTGCTAGGCTCAATAGATCTAGGGTATACTGGTTTATTGCGGCTGTTGAAGTGCTCGGGAGAGTCCAACTAATTTCTAAGTTAAATTCAAATCTCTCTGGTGCTGAAATTACAAGTAACTTCAGCACTTACAAATAAGTGGGTTGTTAGTTAGATGGATCATGATTGGTTAATATTAAATACTTTACATTGGTAAAATATCTAATTTATCCAATCATAAAATGTAGTTTAGATCAGGTTCCACCCATCCGGGTTTTACAGAGTTTTTTAGAATAGTTCTTCTGCAATTCGAAGGATGGATGATGGACGTTGGTGTTTGGCGAACATCTTATTTCTTCTGTTTCCTCTTTGTTAAAGAAGTTCCAGGAAGCTGGAGTTAGAGACATAAGACGTTGTGTCTTCTAGTGACAACGACTAAGTCTTTGCAACAAACTCAAATCTGATTTCAGAATGGTTTGCTATGTCAGGTTTTTCTGTTCTGCGTGGAGAACTTCTTTTGTGTCTGATCTAATTTGGGAATGGCGTGGAGATTGTGCGTGGAGGGGATGCCTGGTTACTCGGATCTGTACGTATACTTGAACATCGAGGTGGTCATTGGTCTAGTTCAATGAAGTCCTTTTCTGCGAAGTCAAGTCGTACTCTAAATCCTTTGAGTTGTGATTGTGAGTGGCATATCGATTGTGGTTGGCCATTCTCTCTCGAGTGTAGTGGGGTCGTTTTGTCTTTAGATGTTCGTCCTTGGTGTTGTATTCTGATCTATGTATTGCATAATGTAATTTACATTTTATAAAACATTTATTAGTTTAATATTTTTTAATTATGATTTTAGTTAGTTGTTTTCACAAAAGCTTTTTGTTTTAGTTCGGTTATTTTGAAGAGTTACTCACACTTGAGTAGCTCTTATTAAAAATAGAGGTGTGGTCACAAAGCGTGGATGTAGCGCGGTGGGTTAGGCCGGCTATAGAGCATGCTCAGGACGTCCTTCCTGGTGGGTTAGGCCAGGAGTGGGAGTATGATTTCATGCGGTTTTTGTGAGGGGTCCTGTTATGTGACAACGTTTTATGTTGGGTTTGTTGTGGTTTTTCTTATGTCTTGTTGGTTATGTCCTTTTTCCAAAAATCAAATTGTTCGTGGTATGGGTTTGTCTTTCGACTTTTTTGTGTTTTATTATTTCTTTCTTAGACTTTATAATAGTCTTCAAAAGAATAAATTATCCAGTTTTAAACTGGGTTAATCCGGTTTGGGTACCGTTGGTTTCCTTTTCTTAGTCATGCTGTTATTCTATGATTTGTGGTATTTAGTAAGCTGCGTTGGTTAGTTTTGTTTAGTATATGATTCCTTTCCAACCGGGTGATATTTTTAGTTTGAAGCAGTGGCCAAAGCAATTGAAGTGCCTTAATAGTGGTTAGTTCTTCAGTGCCTACTGCAAACTCATAAGGTGTGTTTTGGATTAAGTTATATAATTTGTGGTTAAATTTAGTGTTGTGGATGAATTCTAAAATTGGGATTTCTATAGGCTGTACAAACTCGTGCGGGATAAGGAAGGGTCGGGATTCTTCGGCGTTGAAGGTCTTGGTGATGGGGCAGAAAATGTACATTTGGGTTATGGGGTCATAATTACGAAGAATACCATGGAGGTTAGTGTCTTTAATACAATATGTGAAATTTAGGAAATACGGTGAAGTGTATTTTGAGTTGATGAATTGGAAACGATGGTGTGGTTGTCTAGATGGTGTGTGGAGGTCAAAGTGATTTTGGATGAAGCGATAATAACTATATGTATGTGTTTGTTTAGTGCGCAACATAATATCGTGTGAGCAGTGTAAATCTCTTTCGTGTGGTGCAAGGAAATGAAAGGTTAGTGAAAAGATTTGGAAGCGTTCTTTAAAACTTTCGTATGCCTGTGTGTTTGTTAGTGCTTCTGAAATAATGTGATCAAACTTTCGGTCGAAGATGTTTAGTGTAAATATATATGGTGTCTTGATGAAAAATTTCTCAGTAATTTGTGGATTAGCGAAGCGATCGTCGTCTAAGAATTGATCTTGGTTAGCTCTGATGATGTTGTGATCATAGTATTCGAGTGTATATTCGTTAGCTCTAGGTGCAGTGTGTGTTTTTAGTGATTTTTTATATCCAACGTAAGTAAATTGTCTAGCGGTTAGTGGTGTAGTGAGTCGATATAGCATGTCCGTATTTCGCTCTATATCGATGTGAGTGTTAGATAAAGGTAAGCAAAGAGGGTTAGTAAAATGATAATATGAGGTCCAAGAGAGAGTGGGCATTAAAACGTATTCATCTACAAAGTTGCGTGTTTCGTTAGTGTCGTGGGGGGTGTTTAAGGTGTATTGTGGGAATGAGGGTAAGGTGATGGCTAAAAATTCTTTTGTGTTAGTATGCTTGGGGTGGTTGATGTATTCACGGGCTGTTCCTGGTTTTGCTGGGAAAGGATGGTTGGGGAACTTTCTTTTAAAAGTGCGGTAAGCTCTATTAGTGTTGAGTGAAGATTCAGTTGATGTGGATGATGGTGCTAATGATTCAGTATAATTTGAAGAGGGTGTAGGGGTAGGGGGGTTGGATGATTTTATTGTGGAGGAGATTTGGTTTATGGTTGGGGTATTAAGGTGGTAGGGTTGTTGTTGAAGGGTAATAAAATTATCTAGCTCTGGGGAGATTCGGGGGGTGTCTGGAGAATGAGATGATTGGTCAGAATGGTATGAGGAGTAGGTTGGGGTAACTTGGGAAGCATAAGAGGGTGTGGGAGTGATTGGGTCAGGGTTATTGGATAATATGGGTTGAAAAGGGGGTTGAGAAAAATTAGAAGAGTTATGAAAATTATTGGATGGGGATGGTTCTGAGTCGGCAAATTCATCGGGGGTTTCAATATTCGGGTTATTGAGTTGTGAGATGGAATATAAAACTGAGATGTGTGAATTAGTGTCGGAATTCATGCCTGATGTTACATTACTAGGTGGAAAATCGGGTGGCGGAAAAGCAAAAAGTGGTATTATTGGGATTGGAGAGGTAAGATTGGTTGGGTGGGAATTTGATCGGTGTAGTGATCCAAGTTGGCGGCTCATCGTGGGCTAAAAAAATGATTATTTTGAGACTGAAAAGCGGTGGTATGGGGTTGTTCAATAATTTGTTCATAAGTATTATCATCTTGTGACTGGTGTGTCATTATATGTTGGATGGGACTTTGTGATGTGGTGAGTCGAAAATTTGGATTATGTGTGATGGCTAAATTTCGAAAATTTCGTGGGACTAGGGATAGTGGATGGTTATTTGGTAGGGGTGGTAATTGTGGTGCCGTTGGCGTTATGTCTACATTGTTATGTTCTTCGTCGTATGTATTTTGTCGTGTTGCTATTTTTGTGTTATATTCTTTTATTTGTGCGTCTAAAAGAATTTTGTTTATAGATGTAGAAAAGATTCCAAAAAATCCTGCAAAGAGTATGCGTGCTACGCTTGCTTGTCTGTTTACTTGTGTGTGTATAGCAC